AGCTGCTGGTATCTTCGATTTATGGTGGCTTCACAATCCTTCCACAGTGACAGCCTTACATTATCCAACTGTTCTTCCTATTTGGATCGGGTGGCAGAGTCAACCTTTGCCATCACAATGTGTTAGATTATTGTGTTCGTTATTTGTTTTTCACCGCCCAGCGATAGCAATGAGTCATATACCCCTGACACTTCGTCAATCATTGAAGGCAATGAAGGCGCGGATGGCTTTGGGATGGTTAGCAGCTCAAAAAGTTTTGAAATTGTATTGAAAAATATCAAAAAATTTCTATCATAAACGTTTTTGAGGCTTGCCCACGCTATCGGGCACATCTGAAACGCTTTAACTGTTTCCAAAGCCTTTCCAAATAGACAATTTACCAAACGCTTAAATTTTTCTATATCTTGGTCATTTGAATCGTTATGAACCAAGCTCTCAAACAATCTCATAAAATTTTTAATTGCTGAATATTCTCCCTTGAATTTCGGCAAACTTATTTTAGAAAGCCTTGAGCTATGAGAATTTACAAAAGATGTTTCGGCAAGTGAAGTTTTATTTTTAGCTAAAATTTACTTTATTATGGCCTTCGTTTCATTCTCATTTCGTTAATTTTTAACTATGTGTATTTAATATGTCGAGATAACATTCTAATTCGATTGGATCTAAAGACATAGTCTTTTCTTGGGAGCGCGTTTTAATGCACAAAATACTACTTTTCGCAACCAGTGTTTGACGTCTTAACGACTTTAAGTCTGAAAACTCTTTACTTGGAGAGGTTTGTGAAAGTTGGCTTTGGCTTGCTCATTTTGTTTTGGTTGAATTAAAATTCACGAAAAAATTAAAAAATTATTTGGCAAAGAATTTTTGAATATTGAGAATCAACTGGCGAAAACGATAAATGTCGATTCCCGCTATCATTCATACTTTTCGAGATATTCGGCTTTTTAAGTAAGGCTGTATGAAATTTTCAAAGATTTTTTATTACATACATCTTTGAAAATTCTAAGAAGCCTTACTTAAAAATCTGAATATCTCGGGAAGTGGTAATGATAACGATTTTGACCCCCGACCTTTTTTGTAGCAAATAAAAGTTCTAACAAGTCTGTCTAGTACATTTTTTATAGCTCTTGTCATTTACGAGATATATAAAAAATAATTTTGTTAAAAAATAGCTTTAGAACCACGTACTACGTCGCCGCTGTGAGTTTCAATGTTGTCGCAATAGGCACTTTTGTAGAAGGTTCAATTCTGAGGAATTTGTGTCTAAAGCAAAGCGATGCCATAAAATACCTCTGAGCTATAGAAATTAAAAATTAAACAGACGTGTGGCACCCTGGGACTGCCGCGGTAAAGATATTGCATAGCATTTTGTATCAACTTATGCAATTATAATTATTTATTTATTTTATTCATGCAGTATTTCTTTTTCTTTGATATTAATTCAAGTTAACCAAGTCCAGAAATTCCGTAACGAAAAAATCTCACGCTCCCCACTCCAACGGGCACGGAGGTGTGGCTTGAAGACCCTGAATCGTCTAACCAGAGAATGTAAAGTATAGAGAAGGTTCAGGTTCGATGTCGAACATTTGTTAGATTCAAAGTAAGGAATTTGCCGCATTTGTTAACCTTGTAGGTCGCCTCACATTTTTTACAATTCTATCACATATTCTAACCGAGAATATGAAGAGAAATAAATATATGTATTTACGGTATATGATGACAAGGCATATATGCCGAAGCAGAGAATATGAAGAGACAGAAATATATGTATACATGCCCTTGATTACAGTCCTTCCGAAGAATTTCGTTTTGCTTGTTTATATATTGTTTCACTTTTGACAGCGAAAAATGTGTACAAAACACACCTCTCACACAGATAACATAATGGGATGCGTCAGATAAAGGAAGGTGGACCCATATATAAATTAAGAATGCATCAGCCTGGATTGGCAGACAACACGGGGAGACAGATTTCTACTTAACGCAGTTCTTATCGGGCCATGGCTGCTTCAGGGAATACCTATACAAATTTGGTCACAATGACGATACACAATGTTCCTTCTTCGGAAATGCCGCAGAAAACGCAGAGCWCGTTTTTTCACCTGTTCGAGGTATTTAGTAGAGAGAGACATCATAGAAAAGCTGTCAAATTAAAGTATAACGCACGACAACATAGTAAGTCACATGCTGCGATCACAGCTGGTGTGGGCTAAATTGAAAGAGTGGGTTGCAATAGCGCCCCTAAAACTCAGAACGAAAGAAAGGCAGCGAAGAAGCATAAGACCACATGAATAACCTGAACAGTACGTCGTGAAGAGGCAGTCATCGCCCAGCTTGGTCCTGCGAAGTAGTGCTTAACGGCGGTCGCGCAAGTCCGAATACAAGCTACAGCAGCCGGAGTAAAGGGTTTAGCATACTGTTTCGCAAGTCCAGCATAGTTATTTAGTACTTTCTGGACGTGGTCCCGAAAGAGGTATACCCTAGCGGACAATATGAATCGTGCATGCTACCATTCTCCCCCTGGTAGTATCTTTAGAAGATTCCCCCTTCGGAAAAAACACACAGATAACATAAAGACATTTTTTATTGTGTTCTTTGTCTCACATACCCAAGAATATGAAGAGTCATAAATATATGTATGCATGCTCCTTATGATACTCCCAACAACAGCATTGTGATATTTCCATGCTTCAATTTTTGCTTTCGCAATGTACATTTGCAAATATGTATGCTTTTGCGTTATGCCGTCGGCATTTGTGGCATGTAAAAATAATTATTATATGAGTATAATTTTGTATGAATGCATGCATAGTACTATTTACAGTTAATTTGAACTTGAATATTTATTAATTTTATTTGATTTTTACATAATATACTATACTAATAGTAGTAATAGAAATTGAATTTATCACAACAATAATAAATCATATTAATCTTCCCTGCCAACCACGGCTACCCTCTTGTGTCAAATATTTCAATACAAGTACACATTTTTTCTCTATGCACTAACGCCAACGCACATTTTCGGGTTATTTTTTGTTTACCTAAATGCGATGAAAAACAGTTCCTTTCATTTCTTGATTTGCTTGAATAAGTGAGAAGAAGAAAACATAATTTTCAATAGTGCCAAAAGAAAATCCCAAAAAGGGTAATAAAAAACGAGGGATAATTGCGAGCCATTTGCAATTCTAGCGGGAAGACGAAAAGTAAGTGAACACATCTGCATATTTTAAATATATCTTAAATTAATTCCTTTATGCCATTGCAGCATTAAATTAAAGTACATATTTTATCAAAAMAGGTAAGCAACATTTTGAAATAATTATAAATACATGTAATTAATTCCTATTTCTCTCTTTACAAATCATCAATAGGTCTTCAAGCAGTAGAAGCAGAACAATTTTTATTTGTGAGTTTTTTGTTACATTTTATACATACATATATTATTGTACATATACTAAGTAGCTATTTAATTGAATGACCAGTGCGGTTGGTGCTAATAATTTTATTTATAAAAATAACTATTGTGTTTAACAAGTGCGTGCGGTTAACAAATATTCGTATTGTATTATGTTCTTTCGGCCTGCACGGTGCTAAAATTATAAAAGAAAATGTGTTTAAAGCGGCCTGTGCAGTGTTAAAATTTTATATAAAATAACGTTTGTTTAAGCGGCCTGTGAAGTGTTAAAATTATTTGTAAAAGAACATGTGTCTTATAAGTTAAATAATTAATGTTTTTCTTAAAATAATCTTTTATTTCCTCTTTATTTTATTATAATCTTCTTTCAGGTATGTATTTGTATTTTACAATATTTTTCCACTCTTTTATTTTCAGGTATTTGTCTTTTACAATATTTTTC